TTTTTGATACCATTCAACTGCCTTTTGTTCATTCTTTTCCACTCCAGTTCCATTATCATAACACCAACCAAGATTAAATTGTGCTTGAGCATGTCCCTGTTCAGCAGCTTTTTGATACCATTCAACTGCCTTTTGTTCATTCTTTTCTACTCCAGTTCCACATTCATAACACACACCAAGATTAGATTGTGCTTGAGCATTTCCCTGTTCAGCAGCTTTTTGATACCATTCAACTGCCTTTTGTTCATTCTTTTCCACTCCAGTTCCATTATCATAACACCAACCAAGATTAACTTGTGCTCGAGCATTTCCCTGTTCAGCAGCTTTTTGATACCATTCAACTGCCTTTTGTTCATTCTTTTCTATCCCAATTCCATACTGATAACAATAACCACGATTATATTGTGCTTGAGCATTTCCCTGTTCAGCAGCTTTTTGATACAATTCAACTGCCTTTTGTTCATTCTTTTCTATCCCAATTCCACGTCTGTAACAATGACCAAGCTTGCATTGTAATTGTGCATCAGCACTTCCCTGTTTACATTTTGTCTCTTGTTCTAGTTCTTCAAATATTTTTCGAAACAATGCAATTGTTGCCTTTGGTTCATTCTCAGAGATAGTAGAACTCATTTTGTTATATATCAGTTGATTATCTTTTAGAATGATATCGCTATTGAAATACCAACGATTGATGATTTTGCGTCTGTGTTACAATTCGTAAACGAATCATAGATGCCCAAACAACGTTTGTTATTATTATTATGTGTAGTTGACTGATATACAGGAATAAAGAATAATAGTAAGCCAAACCGAATGTTAGTAAAAAAAGGAATCTAGTCAGTAGACAGCCAAGCAAAGTGACCAGGATCTTAATATGGTGAAATTGGTATTGCGCTATTCTTAAAACCGTCTCCGACATTCACTGGCGGCTTTTCTCAAACCCAACTGTCCCAGCATCATCGAACCAGATAACAAGTCATTGCCTTTTGTCGTTTCATACAACAAAGTTCAGCCTTTTTGTTTCTTGTTAATTCATCTTTCACTTTTTTTTGATCCATGTGTCTATTCGATGAGTTACAGATTAACAATTCGGTCAAGAATATTAGTATGAAGAATGTAACCATTTAAAAAGTTTTGTTATTATTAGGTCGGGCACTGAGCATAACTTTCTTTTACCAAATACACAGTAACGCCCACATTAACAAAGGTCCAGTTTAAGATAACCTTAACAACTTAAACTGGGTTTGAGCGAACACTTTACCGTGTATAAAAGTTCCTCGCGAAAGGTTTATGCGACCAATTTATTCATATACTGTTTATAACTATGTGTGGGCGAAGAAATTCAAGGAAATGCTGGCATAACGAAGTTTGTCATAGCATTACGTTACTGTAAATTTATGTAATAAAGATGTTACCCATTCAGCTTGCAAGTGGTTGTGAGGAACAAGTTTCACCATTGTTAGATATCAATCTTCCAAAAAAGAAACTACGAAATATGTGTCGTATTTGAAAAGTTCCTTCGTTCAAGCTGTTGCAAGGTTTTAGTGTTAGAAATTCAATTATAGGATTTTATTAACTTTGAAACTATTAGAGAAACAGAGGTGGTAAGGTGGTATATGACGAACGTAAAGAATCAATGGGAATGAATATCATGCAGTGATTGGAGTCTTTTTTATTCTATAATTTGTTACGACGAACATTGACCGACAAACCAAACAGTCATTTTTTTTGTAGAAAAAAACTAAAATTTGGGTAGTTGCGCTCAACTAAGATCGGTTTTATACCGTGTTCTTTATTGTAGCTTTGGAGGTACTGTATATGTTTTCAACGGTATTGTCCTAATATATAAAGGTTTCTATTTACGGTTGGGTGTTTTGGATTTTCTGTTAGGTGGAAATGTGTCTTATCAATATGTCTCATAAGACGACTGTTAAAAGTTTGCAAATTTTACTAAAAGACATGACTTTAGTTTTGTAAGTAAGCTTACATTAATATACTGGCATGACATAGTTTTATAATTACACCAAATATTACTAATGTGCTATACGCGTTTTCTCTCACTCTCTCTCATATCCAGACGTTTCGCTCCCACTGCACATGTATCGCTTCCCCCAAAGCGTCACTTAAATATATAATGGAAAACGTTTGCCGCCACTCCGCTACATTTGCTACAATTACTCACAACGTCATGGTTCATCGACCAAACGAGAGCGAGCATTCCGGTTTTTCGCTCTAATGTACGAATCAAATCGGCCTCCCCATACCGACGTGTATCGCTCCGAGTGGTAGAATAACAATGCGATAAAAGGTTTGGAAAAGTTGTATTGTACAACGTATTAAAAAAAAATGGCAGTTAATAAAATATGCATTTTTATGTTGCATCAAAAACATGTTAAAACGTATTACCAATACGATCAACTTTACATCTAGTAAACAGGTTTTTTATGAATACTTTTTATTTTCGTTTGTTTATGCTTTTGCAAAAATAATCAACGCAAAGCTCAACGTCCAAAGACAAACAATTGAACATTACCGGTTCAATGGTACTCATTCAGTCAAAGTAATACATGACTAAAAAAGCTTGGAAAAACAGGTAAAATCTACACAAACAATATCTCGTGCAATTAGCAAACATTCTTCGAATAAAACACCTCCTTTAGTTTTCTTGTAAAAAATGTTCTTTTTGGGGAAGATATCGCAGATTTGTCTTGTGGGCCTGCATTAGAAGAGCCAGCGTTTTGCAACAGAACAACAATCTAAATACACGTCACGTGTTAACAAAAATTTTATTGCTGAAAATTCGTTGATTGACAATAGTCTCGATATTAATTCAATTAAAATGTGTAGCAAATTATGAAAAATTATATTAAAAGCAGGTGCTACAAAATACTGACAGCTAATGAAATTTATGACTTGAGAAATGGGATAAATTTTTCAAAAAGTAATTAAAGTAGATTTGACGAACAACGGGAATAGAATTTCTTGTTTAAAAAAAATGCCACTAATAAAACCTTCAGATTAGCTTAAATTAAATTTATAATACAGCTTTTTGCCACCGTTATTTTTTTTAATACGTTTATTAGCTTCTTCGAGGTCTTTTCAGTAAACAGGAATTTTTCCGTGTTTCAACTAATTATTATAATATTTATATATTACTTGAAAGTTACATGCGAGTAACTTCTCAACTTCGAAAAGTTTTTTCACTACATTATTTATTACTTCCAACACTTGACAATTCGACTGCAAATGTACTCGGTCATTTTTTTAATAACCAGGCCCAGGCAATTTTCTCCCACTCGCTAACATTTGTTACGAAAAAACGATACCAGAGCCCTAATACAAAGCATAAATAGAGCACTTGATTGAATGGAAGTAGATCAAAATGCATGATTGTACATACAAATAAATATTTCATATAGCTACTATCTTCTACTATTACTACATAGATTACATTACTATGAAAAAATGTTGTATAAAACTTTATTTACATAATATTTACCACCTTTTTCTTACAGCTGGATATAAAACATCTCCATTCCTACAGAAAAAAAAACGCTATCATAGATAATATTGATAAAAAAAAACTACCACTCTTCCTGTAATTTATTATTGCAATATTAATGGTAAGATAGTCGTTGCTAACCAGGCCATTGTCTTTTAAGTGGCTTACTAGTCGGTTGTTCTCTTTCGTCTCTACCGGTGACACTAGCGATTCGGTACTTATGAGAATCTTTCTTTGGTGGGGTAGAGATGTAAAGTAAACTTGCTGCTTGGAGGCCAGTTTGGAATAATAGTCATTCGATTATTTATTATTATTATCCATTGTTTTATTAACAGTGCAGTACAAAATAAATTAATGATGAAAATTTATATGAGTAAAAAAATATTGTATCAATATTATAATTAACTTGTTATAATAAAATTACCTTGCACTAATTAATTGACTACGGTTAATGTCAAACACGACTCTTACACTTATTTTTGCAGTCACACAATTTGTTACTTAAAAATTAAACAGGTTAAAACTTACGCTACTGCAGGAAGCTTGAAATATTAACGACATTACTCTACAGGATATTGAAGAAATAAATTGCTTAACTTAATAGTCACTAGAATTATACTTTGATCTTTTAAAGAGAGGCGATTCAGACTGCTGTACACTTCCTACGTTAACCAAGGCTAAGCGTATTGTCTTGCAGCCGTTTTTCTAGTCCAAAATTTGGAACGTAAACAACACATTGTAGTACATACAAACTTGCACCTAGGGTCAATTAAAAAATGCGAATAACAACCTTTCAATTGTTTCTGTTTTGTTAACTTTTCTATTCCATTTTATCCACGTTCCAGATGTTCGAGAAACATTTGCACGTGCGATCGTCGCTGCAAACACCTAATAATTGACAAATGATAATCTTCATTCAGTTAGTGATCGTCAACGTGCTTGCTCACAATTGGTTGCCGAGAATTTCATGAAAAAACCAACATTTATTCTGGGAAATTGCACCTTTTTTCTCTTGATAAAATGACTAGGTGGCGGGTGAGTAAATTTCGAATCTCTTTCGACGCTGTTAGACAATTATGTCTGATTTATTCATAATTCATTAATCTTGCTTTCGTCATTCTTCCTTGGTATTCATTATTACTCGTTCTTTTGCTTTCAAACTCTCTCTTTCCCATCACACCGTCCTTCCCAGATAACACTCTCAAACATACCCCAAACGGTAAAGTCCCTAGCCTTATTAAATGTATTTATATCCGCCTTGGGAGGAATAATACGCGTGCATCGATGGTCATCAGACTCTGAATATCCTGAATCCGACCCTTATCTAAATGGTATAGCAATAATTCCTGGTGCTGCTACATGGAATTTCTGGACTTTTGTCACGGCTGGATTTTTGGAGACGAATTTGACTAGCGTGAGTGGATTTCGAGAGGGATCGCAGAGAGATGTTGATAAAGAATTAGCATTGAACAAAAGTACAGACTTGAATTATGCACAATATCAATGTTTTTATAATGGGTTGTTTCGATTTTAGTTTATAGCAAGTACAACAACAATGCTTGCGGCTGGAAAATACTTTGGACGTGTTTGGGGTTCAAAAGAACTTTTGAAATTCGTTGCCATTGTGATCATTGGCGCTAATCTGGCGAGTTTCGTCACTTATCTTGTCGAATATTATGTAACCGGAGACATTGCTTATCTGTAGGTTATACTTGGTTGCTATAACAAGATTGTTCTTTTACGATGATAAACTGGTATTAACGTTGACATTATTGCTTATTGCCAGATATGCAACTCAAATAAATGGCCAAATTGGCCTAATCGAAGGATTTCTCGTTTCTTATAAACAGCTCATTCCCGAACATTTATTTAAAGTATTTTCAGGAACCGTATCAATGCGAGTAAAGGTATGTTTGATATTTGTATCTGACCTGACACCTGTTGATCAAATATTAAATTCCTCCTTATGTCTATTTTTTAGCATTTTCCAAGCATTTTTATAATCACAAGTTTAATATTCTTCATATTGTTCGAAGCCCAGTCACAATTTTTACTGGTCATATACGGCTGGCTGATATCTTGGACTTACATAAGATTTTTCAAGGTTCAGGATGGTATACGTGGTGACCGGAGTGAGACTTTTTCTTTGGCGAGCTTCTTCCCTGAGATGCTTCAGTATGTACATATTTACAATGTTCGTTGTGTTCATCGATTTTATTGGCTTTCACGGCATTTGTCTAATAACTTGATATTTTTAGACCGCCGGTTAAGGTCATATCTTCGATAATATTTAACTTCCTGGTGATATTGAGATGTTGTAAGCCGATACAAAGAAAGAGGCTTGGTCACGATCTTGGAGGTTATAATCCGAGATTAGCACCAGCTATGCCTGGCAGTGCACGAGCAGAGGCCGAAAGACGAAGGTAAGTTTAACGTAACAATATTCCAACGTCATACAGTCCCCGAATCGCCCCAACTTGAATGACACTTTTTTACATAAAAACCCAGAGCTCTAGCACTGAAAGCTCTCGACAAGCGATTACAGGCAACATCGAACAAATTTCCTCGCACTAGTCGCTTTGATTCTTCTTCGAACCTGCCGTCCTCTCCTCCCCCGCCTCCCTTACTGGTAAATACCTCGCCTCTTGTAACGGTACCTAGACCGGGCGAAGTCTCAAGTCCGGTGTTGTTTGATACAAATCAAAACGATGGCAGCACGAATGCTACTGGGAATGCTGGACGTGACGGAAATAGGTAAAAATGGTAAATTGGTAATTGGAAAGAACATTTAGAAAACGAGTCTTGTGTATAGAGAGAAAGAATCGCATATTCTTTCTTGTTCATTAGATTAGGATTGTTTTATAACATCCCACAGCAATTTAGTCATCTAATTATGAATAATCTGTTTTGATGTGCACACTATGGGACGATATACAATTATATATGGTTACTTTGCGGTATCCTTTGGATAAATAGCTTCTTGGTCACACTTTATTTTGTGTACACTACCAGTTTGACACTCCATTTAGTGAACATTAATATACTTATTTTTATATTTGAACGCTTAGTTCCTGAATGATTTGATTAATATAATTAAAAAGTACCAGTAATTTATGGATTATGTGTCTACCATTATGAATTATACTATTACTATTATAACGAGCATTTTCTAATGATCTAGTAACTTAAATAGTCGACGACCTGATGAATAAACAAGTTCCTGCTAATCTATAATACCACACTACAGCTTAAGATTCGCAACTTCCTCTTGATTAAAATCGATTCTACCAAACATTTAAGAATTACATTAGAATCGTTTAATGCGAAAACAATTTGGTTTCGGAGAGAGAATTTGGCTTACCTCAATCCAAGGACTTTTCTTACTTCGGCAACAGTCAACCGCCAAGTAACTCCACTACTTGAACCCCAATAATCGTTTATTTCCGACAACTGTGAATACAAATTTGACAAAATTTAGAACTTGCATCCCAATAAGCCTTGATAACAATAGTATCGAAAGCCGATCAATTTACCACTTCGAGATTCAACAACATTGAGATCTGACTAAGACGTGTGAATTTATCGCGCACGGGTCCCTGAACGTTTCTCGTAAAGTAGTTGAGTACTGCACGTAAGTCTTTGTCAAATCGAAGAGCTCCCAGCTGGTTTAGAGATCGGATGCGTTAGAAGCCTCATCAGCCAAACTGTTTGTGAATTAATAGCAGCAGATGGTGGCTTGATTATTACACTTGCCTGATTAAACTTGGTAGCGGATATTGTCTTTTCTAGCATGTTTATAGTTGAGTCCATGATAAGCGTCATAATGTGATTATAGTTATTATCGGTAAACCGCGTCTAAAGGCACAGAAGTGAGTCAGTTTGATTAAGACATATTCAATTACGCAGGTAAAATTATTACAATCATACTTTATACAATTGTTGAAGATTATTAAATCCATTGACAAATCTTCTACCGAAAAAGTCGTTTGCCTCCAGTTCGTGATACTCTTCCTCTTCGAGAACGTATTTAACGTCACGATATGCCTCTTGTAATAACGGACGGATCCGTGGTTTTATCGTTTGTCCGAATAATTGATCCAATCCACTCTATAAAATAACAAATGCATAGTGTCGTCAGTATTCCATCAACAATGATATTTGATTTTTGGGTCTGATTTAGCTCACCTCCAAGATCTGACCAAATTTCCCGGTCGCAGAGTCTTCTAGCCATGCCAACAATGCACGAATCTTTTCAATGTCCTCCTCGGTAACAATAGAGGTCAAACTACTCAACGTATCTTGTTGGAGTTCAGTCGAGAGTCTTTGAAAGTAAATACAGCTCATGTCAAGATTATTCAACAGTATCTACGACGAGAACGGGCGATTAACAAAGTGCGGGCGGTTTAAAATGAAAATCAAACTTTTCTTAAAACATTTGTTTTCCTAATAGATTTTTACTCACCATGAAACGGATGCGGGCGTCTTCGGCATCATTGGATGTAAATAGAGTAGACAGTCTCTTCTGAATAACACTCGTGTAATCGGTTTCCAGATAGTGATTAACGCTGTTGGCGAATGACGATATCACATCGACATCGGACGTCACGATTGCTCGTTGGATACATCGGTTGAGAACAAAGAATACGTCATCGACGCAACTGGACGTACGGTGGCTTTCATCGTACTCGTCTATTGTCATTGCCTGTTGATGATACAGCGATGTCTAGTGAGAAGATTGCCAAAGCGGTATAATCAATTCTGATATCGATTGAACATATCGCCTTACCTTCTTCATTGATCTTCGAAGATAGAATACTTCAATAAGCAAGTAGTCTTCCATCAACTCTCGAAGTTGTTTGCACAGACCACTCGAATTGAACGGCTCGTCAACGTCAAACGAGGTGTCTGTTTTTTCGGTTTTCAATAAATCGAGTTCACTCTAGCATTGGGTGAACAAAAGGTTGCGTTATCATAGCGGTGAGATTTCTATAGGTACGTGTGTATCTTATGTTGAGGTTGTGTTTTTTTACCTTCACTTTAGACCTTATAAACTGAAAGTATAAATGAGTATTCTGACTGATTGTAGCAAGCTCGACTAGTATGGCATCAATCTCCCTTGGATCTGGCGCGTTGTCATTTTCCTTTGCCTGATTTGATCTCTGAGATGCAAACGAGAGCCTAGCGGTATTATTCGAGGCTTTAATGTCAGATATCTACATATAAGAACAGCGCATACCGTCAGTAAAACATGGAATGGGTGTCATAATTGAAAGATAATGATATCAATTGAGCCAGGCCCAACCTTTCTCTGCACATGTCTCTCATCTATGAATGAATTCAGGATAATTCTACTTTGCTTATCGCATCCCTCTTGCAACCTCTCGATAACTCTAATCATTTTTCCTGGACCATAGTGAGTCTCGACTACTGGCTGATGCTGATTTATTATTATAGCTATGTTCTCAAAGAGTTTTTTGATTGTTTCTGCGTAAAACTTGGCATCAGAAGCTAATTCGTGGGGAAGGAAAGAGTATTGGATAAGTTACTCTATATCATAACATAACATAATGCATATAATATAACACCGTGTTTTATACGTCATACACATACCATCTGCCGCCAGATTAGCCTGACTCCTCCCAGCAATAATCCCACAAACAAAATTTGAATATTTGTCCAATCCCTCAGTTTCCCTCCCGATCAACGGGAATAGCCTAAAGAACCGACTAATCTCGCTCTCGTTTCTCGCTTGCACAGCCGCATCGAATTCTCGTGAAAATATAGCATACAAGGTCTCCTTTGAATCGTGCAAAAGCTTTTGCGGTATATCAGGATGTTCGCCAGTCGGTATTGCTACCTCGGCAAATTTCCCAGTGAGTATCTTTTCGTCCATCGTCGACGTCCTGTGAACGTGCACTGCTGCCGTCTCGTAATCGCGCTTCTGCATCGCATTATAAATTCCATTGATACAAGACTTGAGCTCTTGGACATCTTCAACTTGTTTTATCGATTGCTGCACCCGCGATTGTTCCAAATCCAATTGCCTGACTTGAGCCGATATCCTCTCTGCTACTTTCGAAGTAGTATTTATTATTTTCACCAAATCGGCGGATTTTGAGTGTAATGTTCCTAATTGTGGTCGTAAAGCCTCTAGTTTGTCTAATTCTGTTTCAAGATATGTTCTTTTGTCTAATAAAGCGTCCAAATCAACGTCTACTTGATTTTCTTCTAGATCTAATAGTCGAAGATATTCTTGAATATCATCTATGTTGGTAAGCGATTGAAGTTGAGATAGAGAGAGTTCGGATGGATTTACAGATATGGATGACGGAGTAAACTGATTAGTATCTGCCGGCATCATGTACGGAGAGAGAGATAGGTTAAGAAAGGTTTGAGAACATGGAAAGCTGTTGTAATAGTCTACACGATTGATCTTCGAAAATTTCTGTTCTACAAATAGAAAACATTGTATTATTGGATGTTCGTTCATCTTCTACAATTCCAATGCAATCAGAACCAAAGCAGATTCCGATTACAGTTTTCACCGGTTTCCTCGGAGCAGGAAAAACCACTATAATCCTGTCCTTAATACCACACCTTCCCAAAGATTATAATCTATGTCTGTTGAAAAACGAGTTTGGGGACATTGCAGTCGATAGTGAATTGGCACGGGAGAGCAATGTATCGGTACAGGAAATGCTAAATGGATGTCTATGTTGTGTGTTGGTGGGTCAGATGAAAAATGCTCTGACTGAACTCAAAGGTAGTAAAAGTAAAAAAGTCTATTGAGATGGGATTTCTTCGTAGCAATCTAACAGATCTATTCTTTGTCTGCAGAAAAATATAATCCTGATAGAATTATTATAGAAACGAGGCAAGTATTTCAGAGATATCCTAATTACTGGATCTAAAGTAAGGTATTATGTTATTCTTGGAAATTATCTCTGACTTTTGCGCAAATTCCTTCATTCAGCGGCTCAGCCTTTCCGGGTATGTATGCACAAGCTATTACATCAACTCTTCTATAGTCATTATATATTTTACTAATGTGACCGTGAATTGATAAGCTCCAATTGCCTGGCAAATACGTGAAATGAACTCGATGGGCTTTGTATTAGACAGCATTGTTACCGTGATTGACTGTGTCAATTTCTCTGGATATGAAGACACAAGCTATACTGCCAAGATGCAAGCACAATATACGGACGTCATACTACTCAATAAATGGGAAATGGTGAGGACCTGTTCATGTTATATCAGAAATATTGTCTCATTGTACTATTTTAACAGCGCGTTTCCTGCACTAGATCAACGAGTACCAGTTGGATGTAGTAATTGATCACATTAATGAATTAAACACAGACACACCAAAAATAAAATGCTCCAAGGATAGTGGAGTATCTCCAGATATCATTTTCGGCATTGATACAACCCTTTTCTCTCTTTCTTCCAAAAGCATTTCAATAGACACTGACCTTTCCCATCATCGTAATGAAGTTGATCTAATTCAAATAGTTATTCCTTCAAACATTACATCATATAATATTCAATCTAAGTACACGTTTGAAAATTTTCTAGCCTCTCTTCCCAAAGATGAGGTCTATAGAGTTAAAGGACTAATTAAATTGAAAGATGAAAGTGATGTAGAGAATGTATGGATAGTCAATCACGCATTCGGGAGATATAGTATGGTAAAGATCAATGAGAAACAGAGGGAAGAGGGTATCATACTAAAATTGATATTCATGGGTGAGTTGAGGACGCATTTGGATAAAGTAAAAAGTGCACTTGATGTTAATGATCAATGTGTGAAAGTCCATTATGCACACAGATGAATTCAAAATAAATGTCGTCTCTACTTCGTGATAGTAATAGTAATAGTGACATATAAATATAACTATGGTGTTAGGCGACGCTCCACTTGATGAAGGAAAAATAAAAACTACTTACATGAACTCGATAATGTAGACGACAAAACGCTTGTTGTCTATAACGACTTTGCGCGAATCGTCGAATTGCATAATAAGAGCTATGGTTTCGCGAATGTCATTAATTATAATGCTCTTAGATGGAATCTGTACTATTCATCCGTAAAGCAAGGTTAACAGTAAACGAAGACTGTTAAAAAGATGTAGTATTGTACAAGCTCCTATCGGAAGCAAGCTTATGGTAAGTATATATTTACTTTTTCCAAATAAGAATATTATTGTATTTTAGTGCAGACATTCTGCTAGATTACCTTGTTAAATTCCATTGATATTATCATTAGTGAGCGAACGAATTTTATGGTCCTGAAATACATTATCCTTCCTTTGGTAATTATGGAACCTCCATAGAAGAACTTTCTATAAAAGAACAACCTCTCATAAAGAACACTATTTAATATTAAGTTTTGTCACACACCGATTATTATTATCCAATTGTAAACCTAAATTGGTAATATCCAATAATTGTATAAAAAAGCAGATATTCTCCGAACACCATTGAGATGAATCGATAAGTAAGCATGCACTTGTTTCAAATAACGCTATGCGAGAGATATAAAACAACGTTACCAGCGTCTTGATTAACTGCATTAGCAACATATCGCTTATAATACTCAATTTATATCAAACGCTAATTAGTTTTTCAGCAAAAAAGAACGACTTTATTACAATTAAAACTTTTCACTCGCTATTAATGTTAGCAGCAATACACTAAACGAAGAGCTGGATATCTTTTTTTCCCTGACAAATATTGACTATTACCGATAACAATATTGTGGCAAGTTTATTAGATTCTTAGAAAATACTTCCCAGACGACTATACTGAAACGCAATCTGGCAAGTATCACATAAAATTTTTAATGTTAAACATCATGTAAGAAAATATAAGTCAAGCATTTGATCACAGTTAACGTTGATTTAATCTATGGCAATTACAATAGCACACTGTTACCGTATAATTTAATTTAATTAGATAGTGTTCTTTAATATAAATTTATTACATTCGTAGATCTAACTCAATTACAATCTTACAATTTTTGTACATCAAACACTAATAAGCAGACAAGATGACAGATTCACATTAGTATACCCGTTTATCTGAAAATGCCCACCCCTACCATTGCTGTTGTGGTTGTTGTGGTTGTTGTTGTGGTTGTTGTTGTTGTTGCTGTTGTTGTTGTTGTTGTTGCTGCTGCTGTTGCTGCTGCTGCTGTTGTTGTTGCCTAAGAAAAAATTCACGCTGCTGCTGTTGTTGTCTTAACAGTAACTGACGTTGAGATATCCCAGTTTGAGCCTGTGTGAATACGCCAGGTTGTGCCCAAGGCAAAACAAGAGACGTCGCTGGTTGAGCACCATTAGCCGCAGAACGCATCAAAACAATATTATGTGGTCTCATATTAGACACTAGTGGCCGATTACCGGCTAATTGGAAGTTAGTGGCCTGAGGAGTAGCGTTCGGGAGGACTTGAATTCGTGTAGCCGGACTTGTCATAGGTTGTGGTGTTTGCGGTACCGGTATTTGTACAGGTCTTTGCCGAGTCGGAGAAATAAATGCCGCTCCATTAGTATTGATTGAAGCTGGACTAATAACTGGTGTTTGCGGATGAGATTGCGGTGTCTGACGAGATTGTTGTGGTACTACTACTGGTGCTTGTCGCGGTGATTGAGCAGATACTGGCAAGCCTCCGTTGTGCGTTTGCTGTGGTATTCGTATCTGTTGGGCATTTGCAAAAGCAGCCTGATTGATAGGTTGGTTTGGTAGTTGTTGAATAGGCACTTTTCCTTGTTGACCAGCCGGAATACGAAAATGTACATCTGCATAATTTGGGTGACCCCCAGGCAGGTTTACCGGCTGTCTTATAGGAGGTCTAATCTGCGCAGTAGGAGGCCTTTGTCCTGGTCGTCTAACTACAAGCATGTTATAAGGAATCTGTGTGGGTCTACGGTTAGCTTGTATTGGCGTTTGAGGGGGTTGCATCGGTGTTTGAATTGATACATTCTGTGGTTGAGCAGTTACAATTTGATTGAGCAGTTGGTTTTGGGGTGGTGTTTGTGCAATAGGAGGCCCTATTTGCGGAGATTGTGATCGCCTTCGAGGTGTAGTGGGTATAATCTGTGGTTGTTGTACGGGTGTTCCAATCGGTGGAACGTCTGCCGGTGACTGGACTGGCGTGTGTGAGTTTGACCGAGAAAGTGGTTGTGCGGAAGGTTGTTGCGGTGGATTAGAACGTTGCTGAAGATGCTGAACTTTGTCTGCACCAAGTAAAACTAATCGTTCAGAGGGCTGTTGGAGAGGTTGAACAGGTTGCTGTATATGCTGCGGGCCCTGCTGGTTCTGTGATTGTGGTGGAACTTGTATCTGTGATGCTTGAGGAAGTTGAATAACTTGTGGTTGTTGAATGATACCACCATTCGGCAGTTGCAGTGGTCTCTGACGTATATTAATATTTGAGGCAACATGACCGCTTGGTTGCTGTGATCGTTGAATCAATGACGGTTGCGGACGACCAACATTAACTGCACCCCCATTTATAAGTTGAGGCTGCGCTCTAATCCCTTTTGGAGAACGAGGAGCAGCGTTTGCCGGTTGTGGCTGGGCTGCTTGCACGGGATTTTGAGGCGCTTGTACTGGAACATGGTGGTTTGGTGGCTGTTGAATAAGCGTAGGCAACTGTCTTGGTGGTAGCTGTATCGACGTTGGTCTCTGAATAGACCGTTGTGTTTGTCCACGCGGCGCCTGATGAATATGGCCATTTGTCTGCTGATTGCCAACACGACCACCTGGATTTTGTTTCACATAGTTTTGATATGCTATATTCGCGGCACTATAAACGTTTTGGATAGATAATATGTCAATCTCTTTGGTGGTCCCGTCTTCATCGTATTTGTAAACAAGTGCAGCCTGCGAGTTTTCTTGTTTCTTCTCATTTACTGTTTGATCCAAAGTTGCCTGGTTTACCCAGTGATGTTCAAGAAGTTTCACTGGATTAGCAAGTTCAGGTAATACCACAGGCTTTTGAATATATGATAATCCGCTTGGCACTAATGATTTTATTGCGACTGTAATGCCATTATCAGGATCAGTCCGCCCTTGTGAGTCTGCGACCAGCTCATTACCTTCTAGAGCATAAAGCGTCATAAATAATTTAAGGCCGGCTATACAAGTATTCTCATTGTCGTATTTATTTCTGAATCGCAAGAGACAATTGCATTAATGATAGGCCGTGCAGTTGTCCGAGAGGACGTATTAAACCGTTCAAGATTACATTGACTTTTTAATCAGTCTTACCTCGTGCTTACCCGTCGTTCGTCTAATATTTCTCTGAACTCTTTCTGATCGGCTTTCCGGCAGAATTCATCATAGTCGTTTGTGTCCTCCGGAAAGTCCGTTTGTGATACTGTATATATATGAATTTCGAATTTGCTACTTGTATCCCGTAAGACATTTACGAGCGAGTGTATCATCATCGTCGCTACAAAATTGGCATTCCTTTAGAAACGTACATAAAAACATCGAATTATAGAAAGTTAGAGACGCCTACTCTCAGTCATATCATGAACTCTCCGTTCATATCTCATCCATCTAACAAGCGTGGTGGTTTCTGCTTTCTTCTTGTTAATACTTCGTCCTATAAGTTTAAAATCAATTTAGTTACGATGCCTTATAAATCACGCATAAGATAATTACGTATTCGTAAATACCTTCTTCTACAATAAATTCCGTCAACCGTCGCTTTTTCCTTATTGTATACGGGTCCGTAGGATCCGTATTAAAGTATTTAATCTGACGAAAGGTTGGTATGAATTCGCGTCCGTATCTCTGTACAAAAGAAATACAGTTTAGCGTTTAAATATTTGGCCTACAGTCGAATGTTCCAAGCAGACGGCGCCAAAACATTCTCTCATCTTGCCTTGCTAATATTTACCAATTGACTTACAATATTATTAAAAAAAAATAAAGTAGATTACGTACGGGATCCATTGTATACATCAAATTCTCGTATTCTGCCTGCTTGGCGGCCTCCTGTTCCATTTCGTACGAATTCAACTTTCTCTTTGCGCCCCTTCGCATCCTTATGCGACGATAAGGTTCCCCAATTATACCGTTTATCATTGGCGTTTTTATGCTATTATCTAATGTGGACAACGGAGGCTTCATGGCATCCAAATCAAGATTGGGATATAAAGCCAACTGGTAGCGAATTCGGAAAATAAGTTGGGGAAAAGGAAGAAAAATCATACGGTATCATTAAAAAGAAAAACTTACAAGTAATTTGGACTCGAGTCGAATAGCATCTTCTACAGTCCATGTACCGCCATATTCAAGGTTTAACCGCAATATATCCTCCCAAATCGAGACAGACGACGGCCGTAACAGGGTCCGTCTACCTGTGCAAGTTGGAGAAATTCGATGGTCCTCGTACCTAACCACGACACAGCCTAAAAGATAAAATTACAATATGATTAAATAATACCGCTTAGGTTCCATGCAGACTCGTAAGCAAGAATGCAGTGAACAAGAAACTACTATCGTGAGCATTTGCCTTACCTTCATACCATCGGTAATTTTCTAAAGTAAGATCGTCCGTACCATCCTAATAAAAAAGAAAATAGTTTGGGTAAAATCACTCAAAGCATCACCACTCTCAAGTAGTGACATACTATACAGACTATAACGTTTCTGCATTACAAACATTCCTTCGATCTCGTCATACGACCTACCAAGTTACGGATCTCTATTCGATTGTCGTATACATGTGCTATTAATGATACTTCAAATTTGTCTAAGGATATATTAGAATGTACTTGTGCAGGCACGACCATAGTGTACTATTCAACAGTCGACCAAAGTTTAAAGAAGACTTCTAAAAGTGCTGGTGCATGAGAGAAGGAGAAAAAGGAATAATAATAATGGAAATGTGTGAGAAGTAATTATAGATTTCCGTCGTACGATTTCGGATATTTTAATTCGAAATACCAAAGAATTTATTGCCCAAGAAAATAAACTTGCATGACAAACGACAAAGATTTAGCGGAGCGACTTGCGCGCCTCCAAGTTACGAATTTCAGTGCGCAGACAAACGTTTCGTATGTGCTAAGAATGACATTATACAAGTGATGATTCTATATATGCATAAATAATAGTACATTCATTATAGTGATCAGGAGTTGGAGGAGCGTTTCAGTAGGTTGCTTGGGCGAAGACCAACTGCCTCGGCTCCCGTCTCATACTCGCCTAGCGAACTTGATGCACATGAAGTGAGGAAAGCAGAATTTCCGTCATCGAGAATATATAGCTAACACATATACTTATGCGGTTGGCTATATTCATTGTAGATTGAAAATCTGCTGGGAACGGAAGATGGAGACGATGTAGATTATTATGACTTTGACTTTTTGAATAATGATGGGTTGACTCAGCAGATCGATCAAAGCAATGTCTTGTCTCTGTATCAACAAGTACAAACGGAAGTCCGCTTAGAGAGAGAGTATGCTGCTCAAATGAGGGATACCGATGACGACTTGGCCGAGCGACTGAGAAAGTTGACGGAAGGTCCGCAGTTTCCTACGACAACGTCCACGTCAAACACATCGTCAGATTTGCTAGGGCCTCCGCCAAACCCGATAGATTTATCAGATTTTCAGACAGACCCCAATGACGACCCTGACACTTGGTGTTGTATGTAAACAGGGCGGGGGGGCATTTGTAAAAGTCGCTCTTTTTCGCTTTTAAGCAAATCTGACTTGCGTGATTTTCAGGTATATGCAATGAGGATGCAACTATAAAATGTCATGGCTGCGAGGGCGATCTATACTGTAATGAATGCTTTCGCGAAGGTAAGTCGCGTACGAAATCTTTTTTATCCAAGCGTATGTGCGAACGTATATTGACCAACGAGCATTCTTACTTAGGCCACAACAGCACCAGCGCAGACTACGAAATGAAGCAACATAAATATGAGAAATATCAAAGAAAGCAATACACTACTTGAATTGACGTGTCAAATAGCTTGGGTTGTCGCGTTCAAGTTTGCTATAATAATCTTTGGAGTTAAAAAGTGATTTGGAAAAGAACGAGACTCTATAAGAGTATTAATATATTGCCCGCACTTTAATATTAATATCAAACATGCACATAAAACCAGGATATGCAGAATCAGGTTTATTACATATATTACATGATCAATTAATCATCTGCTTAGGCTCTGTCATTGACAATGATTAATAGACTGCAATAAATTAACATGGTATAATTACAATTGAATTTGCGGGTCATGGAAGACTTGTCCTTGGTACACTCGGAAATTGAGAAAGAAACGCTTTTGTTTCTTTCTCCCTTTTCTTCGATTCACGTAAAAAGAAAATATCACGATGCAGTATGTATTGTTTCGGTTTAGGCGGTTGTCGAGCCGCAACGGGTTGGGGAGTAGCCATCTGCTGTTTCGCGGTGCTATCCTTTTTCTTTTCTTTGTCTTCGTGATTTTCCTTCTTTTTGTCTTTATCTTCTTCAGCTTTCCCTTCAGCTTTGTCTTCAGCTTTGTCTTTTTTCTCTTTATCAGCCTCTTTATCAGCCTCTTTCTTCTTAGATTTAGTACTTTTTTCTTTGGAGGCTGGTTTTGGTGGCGTTGTCGTTGGTTGCACTATTGGTTCAGGCTCAAAAGCAGGTTTAGCAAAGCCACGATCATTCAAATGACTAGGAGAATAAGAGAGGAAAGGCGGAAAGCGAGCGAGCAGTAAGCAGACTCGAACTTGTAGAATCTACTAAAACAGAAACCATTCCATCCATTTTCTACCTGACACAGACGTAGAACCAGTCTAAACCGTCATCAGTCGTAAGTACAGCGGACGAAAGTCGGCTGCAAATGAAACATGGACGCTCTGTTGTAGCCGTTCGATGCGTGTATAGATTTTTCAACTGTGTTTTGGACATTCTTTGAACAGGCTGTCATCACAGGGGTGGGGAAGCGTCTCGCTAACAGGGAAGATCCACGGTTTGAGAAAAACCAAGTCGGAAAAACTTGTCGAATGTAAGTAGACATTGATCTGCAAATTAAAACATTTACACATACTTCAAATCAGTTTTGTACTATAAAACATCGGAACATGTATTTAAACTCTATTCTTAGCTAAATCTCATTCTTGCCCATATACAGTAAATTTGGATGAATAAGATGGTTGTTTAATGAAAAGCAAAAGATATGTTATGCGCAAGTCAGCTCAGGAATGCAGAAGAAGGATTTCATATCCGAATAGCACTGTATTATAGAAACGGGAAGAGTATTTTACTCGGTCATAGAACGCGCAGAATACAATGAACGATGAACGTTCCTTGTAAGATATCGAGGAGGTTATGGTTACCAGGAAGGAGCGGCTCTGCATGCAGATTTACGTACGAATGGGTTCTTGACAAGAACAGTGCTAAGTTCGTGGTACTCAATTCGGACGTCAACTTTAATGATACCGGGGAACAATAATTGTGGTTGTCATTTTTGGATCTGTGATATAAGTAATTCCGCTGTTTCTATTTTTTAAAACACTGCTGGCAATTGATATATTTTTGTGAGCCATAATCATCGTTCAAGTTATTGTCTGAAACTAATATTATGTGAGAGTGGGATTTCTATCTAGTGGTTCTGTAACTGATGTCAATGTGATATTGACTCATACAGAGAGGAATATGAATATTGTTGAAATACGGCTGTTGCTGACTTGGTCACATTTCAGGTTTCAGATGTTTTCATGTCACAAGTCAATGGAGTTCAGGGATTGCAAGGTCATTGAATGCATGGAAGAGTATACTAATACATCAAGGACACGTGGAAATTGTAAATTCATAAAAAATGATCAATAACATTCAAATGTGATTTGTGTGAGGTGGAGATGGAATTCATTCCCCATTTGTTTCTATGACAAGCCTACATCTAATCTCTCATCAATTAACTAAATTAATTAACTTAGTTTTCGGAATCGAATTCCACTCCTCCACCATAAACTCATACTCAGTTAATTTATCACAGTTTTTTGGCATGCATTTTTCTACATTTCTTTTGACAATATTCCAAAGATTTTCGATGGGATTATAATTAAGATCAGAGCTATTAGAAGGCCAATCAATAACTTTAGAAACATTTTCCTGAAGAAATGATTTGGCAAGGTGGCTCATATGCTTCAGATCATTTTCTTGTTGAAACCGCCATCTCTTACCCATCAGATCTGATCAAACAAACTTCCCTTGAGGCATTTGAAAAACTCCTCTCGGTTGCAGATCTGGATAGATTGTCAACTCATGACACCGCGAAAGTAGCGCTACTCAAAAAAATTATCAAAGCTTTCAAAAAGCTCCTAGTCATGGCGATTATTAAGTATACGAAATAGAAGGAGATGAATTGAGTGTAAAAGAAATCATTGATGTTGTTAAAGAACCTGAAACGAAAGAAGAGGAAGAAAAAGGAGAAGAATTATTTAAAGAAAATTTCTTCATCAAAAGAAACTTTATTTTCAAGGTTCTCTTCTAATTTTTTTGGAACAACCGTTATGGCCCACAATCTGTTAGTTATGTGGTCCCAGTAGTTCCACCTGCCAAAAATGTAGCCAATCTCTCACCGCGCAGGTGGTGTGAGGAGTTTACTGGCGCTTTTAACAAATTTTTGATGTCCTGCAAAAAAAAAAAAAACACGTTTTTTTTTTTGTTTTTTTCCGGCTTTTGTGTAAAATTTTAGTGAAATCTAAATAAGCAGAACAAATACAAGTGATCAGGTGCAAAAGAACTGAGAAGGCAAATAAGGAAATACTTTGTCTTTTAGTTTTTTCGTTAATTTTATTTTTGTTTTTTAATTATTGGTTGTTGTTTTTGTAAAACATGGTCTAAACCATGAAATATTCTTAAAAGAGGAAGAAATTCCGCGTTTTTTATACAGTACTTATATAAAATTTTACACAAAAAAAACGCCACTTACTTATAAAAACACAACTGGCGTTTTGTAGTTCAACTTCTTGTTCTATCTCTTGGACTTTAACCTTTATTTTTGAATCTCAGCAGAACAAAAAAAAGTCCAAACAGAAGAAAAAGCACAGGCATTATTAGTAAGTAACAAACGCACAATTCCCAGATCATCTCCTGAAGTGTATCTGCAACATACACAAACAGGTTATCCTAATTTACCAACACCAACAAATAGAAGCGACTATCGATAAGCTCTTGTAATAGTAAGTAGTATATAAATAATTACATTTCGGGTCATCTATTATGAAATTATACTAATGATCAATTTCATTTTCGATTCTCATTTTACATTCCGATAACTCTAGCTTCTCAACATGCCAAATTCTTATCAGAAGGGAAAAGAATTCGAAAAAGAGATTGAACGTATACTGAAAGGGGCTAATTATATATCTCGTATATGGTAAGAATTCTTACTAAGTATTGTTAAATAATTATTATGTATCTGAAGTTACGCTGCCACTTTGGTGTAAAATGTCGGAGGAATTGAAAGTTCATAAACAGTTTGCAAGTTGTTGTCTTATTAGTTTGTTTTAGTAGGTATCTGAAGTTACGCTGCCACTTGGGTGTAAATTCGGGTCTCGATAAACACGATGGTGTAATATATATCGATTCACGTTTCCGACGAAGCCTTTGAGGGAAATGCGGGCGTGGTGAATAGGATACATCAATCATTCGAATTGAAAGCACTTCGTGGCCATAGCTTGCGAAAGTTACTAGTCGGGTAATCAGCCCCGACGTATGGTGGACGGCCTGCTATGAACGTTCTTCAATTGATTTTTTAATTATGATGATACAATTACTTATTATATCTTTTTATATAGTACCCCCGGCGGAAATACTGGTGACGGAGGAATAGACATATTAGTAATTAAAAATTGTATGTGCTATGCCATCTAATGCAAAGACTACAAAGAACCAATTGGTAAGATATTATCATTCTACAAATATTTAAATAACAATTTATCGATATTAATTTTAATAAACCGTATTTATCATTAAGGTCCCGGCTTTGTTAACGAGTTAAAGGGATTACTCGACATTTTCCCTTTAGGATGTGTCGTAGGTTTTATAGTAGCCGAATCTTTTAGCCCAAAGGCTGAAGATTGTGCTAATGCGTCTACGATCCCCATCAAACTCGTCCATAAAAGACAACTTGTTAAAGTAATGGCGGAGCTCCGAGTTGATTCTGCGGGTGGCATAGTGCAAGTTATGGGGGAAGCTTCTAGAACACGAGAAGAAGTTCTAAAAGTTTTACTTAAAGAAAAGGATTTGAATATTGAAACTAACAATCAAATTAAATTACTAGGTTCGGAATTTCAACCCAACCAAAATAGAATTTTAATTTTTGTTTCTATTTATCTTTTAGTTTTACATGCTTCATTTTTGTATATTTTTATAAATAAAAAATAATAAATATAAAATTATTCAAAATAAAAATATGTGAATTTTCTTTAATAAAAAATAACATTGAATTAATTATCTTCTATTTTAATATTATCATCATTTATTATTATAGATTCGTACACTTTCCCGTTATCATCATTTATGATACTATCATCATTTATAGATTCGTACACTTTCCCGTTATCATCATTTATACTATCACCATTTATGAAATTGTGTGTTTTTCCATTAATATTATAATTTTTCTTTTTTTATGAATTTTGAAATTATCGATACAATCCCAATGTCCAGTGACTAATCATCAGAAATAAATGATGTCATATCATTGTCTATCCACGTGATTCATTATTCGATAAATACTATTGGCTAAATCACGCGTTTGTGTGACTTCCCTTATATATTTTTTGTCTCCCACTTTTTTTTTCACTTTGATGATCGTGTTTGCTTGACTGTATTCCGTGGTGAGATATGTTCGCTGGGCCACCCGAGGGATTAAGTTCCGTAGGTCATGAGTTTGCATACGATGCTAGGTATAAATCGGAAATTGAAAGCGCTTCGTGGCCG